GAGACAGACTGTTTTTTGGTAATATCTTGTGAAAAACGGTAACAGAGGAAAAGCTATGAAAGAAAGTAGAATGATTATAAAAAAGTGAAACTTTAAAACCTATATGGAAAAAATACTTTTTTAACATAATGAATGAAAAATGAATACTGTCTAACAAAACAGGCAGCGAACAGACAATGTTATTTTAATGGAAGTAAAAAAAATTGTTTTGAAACAAAGAGTGAATGGAATTAAAAAAAATAAAAGTAATGGAGTGATTTGTGATAAAACTGAAATGAGGGAAAGAATATAACAAAGATGTATATGGGAATGATGATAATATGTCAAAAGGTAGTGTTGCAATAAATGGCATAAACTTTAGTATCCAAGAAGAAATTGAAGAGCATCTTGAAAAGGCTCAAATAGTGTAACCAGAGGAATATGAAAAACTGGATGTGGTTTGCTGATGGAGTTGCAGTGTGACCGTTTCACTTCTTGAACAAACAGTGCACTTGTACTTGGTTGCTGGAAGAATGTGTTTATTGTTCCCTCAAGCAAAGGAGAACATGGGGAATTGGTTTGTTAAGAATGCTAGCAAGCGTCTGGCAACATTCTGCTTGAAAAGGTTGAAGAAATGACAATGAATTATAATGTTTTGCACAATATAGAGCTGAGGTCTGGTTGACAAATGTGATACAAATGATATATCATAAAGCATGCACAAGAATAAATTGAATGCTTTGCAAATGGTTGCCACTGAGCTGGAAGTAAGACAAAGGTGTCGGATGCTCCCTTGGTTGTTTAAGGTATCTATGGATAACATTATAAGGAATACTTCAGGCAACATCCTGAATTATGGCTTTGAATAACTCCTGAGTTAAGTGGTAATTGTCTTTTCTTTGGAATGCCTTATTGCTTAACTTTTAAGGAAACAAGCAAATGGATGATAGAACAAATCAACCTAGAGTTCTCGCTGGAGGCAGAAATAATATTTTGCATACATTTGTGAAGGCCTTGTTCTCTTGAAAAGTGCACTTGTTGAGAAAGGTGGAAAAAAAAAGAAAAGGATGATCAGTAGCAAAATAAATGGACTCAATTACAATGGTGAAGGGTGCACCATTTGGGAACCTGAAGCACGCTAGAGAAAGTCTATGCTAAGAGTCACCACCAACTAGATCGCATATAATTAATCACACCTACAGATTTTTCTTCTTGGCTTTTGTTATTTGTCTTCAAAATAATCCTACAAATAATCATTTAAAATTAAGATAGTTGCTAATCCATCCAATGTAGTTTTTACATTGCTTACTCCTCCTCGTATTTTTATAAAAGTTAAAATAAATCAAAATCTCTTGTTCTTGCTGATATAGCCACATACATTTTCTCTTCTTTCCTTCCTATTAGCATAAGGCAATTTGTTAGAATTTAATTTTGTGAATAAAATAAATAGGAAAGTCTGCAAATTAAGTTATTCATATCAGCAGTTGCTGTGTAAGATCTCCTTTAAATTATCTGAATGTTAGAAAAATCAAAACATTTTGCACAAATTAGTTTCAGTAGAAATAAGTATGTGAGAGTAGGTACTTTTAATTTGCATTACAAATCCCTTTGTGAAAAATATTTGTGATGGAAAGAATATACAAATGCTTTAAATAAATTAATATGTAAATTTAATCATCATATGGTATATTAGAAATTCAATCATTTTGTTTTAAATAATGTTTACCTAGCGATAATGTGCAGGTTAAACTAACATGTTTGTGATTATAAAAGTGCTAAATTTATGCAGCGTTCTATAATTATTTTCCAACTTGTTATAAAATGGAAAACACCTGGAACAGTTTATTTTTCTTACAGGCTTCTAACTGTAAAAGAACAAAGGGAAGGAGAATAAAACAGAATCAGTGTGAAATTATTTGTCCTCATTATTCATTCAAAGCAGAAGACCCAGTGTTAGTGTTCACTTAAGGATAAAGGTAAAGGTTCCCCTCACACATATGTGCTAGTGGTTCCCAACTCTAGGGGCAGTGCTCATCTGTTTCAAAGCCGAAGAGCCAGCACTGTCCGAAGACGTCTCCGTGGTCATGTGGCTGGCATGACTAAATGCCAAAGGTGCACGGAGCACTGTTACCTTCCCACCAAAGGTGGTCCCTATTTTTCTACTTGCATTTTTTACGTGCTTTTGAACTGCTAGGTTGGCAAATAACGGAAGCTCAACCCATCACGCTGCACTAGGGATTCGAACTGCTGAACTGCCAACCTTTCGATCGACAAACTCAGCGTCTTAGCCACTGAGCCACTGCGTCCCTATTCTTAAGGATATAACTATCCAATTCAACACATTTATTGGTTTCTATACTGAACCAAGTTTGGGCAGGAAGCTATATAGTCACTATTGTCTTAACTGCATGTTTTCTATAAACACAAGGTTGAAGGTGAAGACAGCTTATGCCACATGATTCACCTACTCTTTTCCCCCCCAAATTTCTACACAATGGGTGACAGATGACAGCAGGTTTTAACTTGAATATCTGCTAAAGTAAATTATGGTCAAAAAGCAGTATTTTACACATCATACGTTTCTTTGGAATTTGCCTAGCCTAGATTAGGTATTTTTATATTCCACTGATTATAGTTAAAGGTTAAACATAGGGATACCTTTGTCTGAACGGAAACAATTAATATTTTAGCTATTTCAAATTGATTTTGCTTGAATGACAACATGTACCTGTCACAGATATGAAATTCCTCACCTCTCCCGTCCACCCAACCCCCCCTTTTTTTCTATTTCTTTTCAGATTCCTGGCTCTGGTTGTCTGTTCTGCTGAATTACACCCCCCCCCCACTTTCCTTTCACTTATCAAATCCATATGTACAATAAGTCTCCTTCTACCTTCCTTTTTCTTCTCACAATTCAGATTGGCCCAGTTAATAACAAGCCAACATTCTTAGATCTAGATGAACTCAGTTAAGGTGAATTAGTCAAGGATTCTTAAAACCAAATAAAATCAGCCATTCATTTTCTGTGACAGATAATCATTTTGTGCTGCTGTACTTTGGATTTTTGATACTAATTAAAATCAATTTAATAAAGTACTTTAAAAAGTATGAACGACATCATATACAATATAAGCATATAAGTAACTGCCAATGGCTGGACAGATTTCCTTATTGTGCATAAGTGACATTTAGAAATTAAACTACTGCAAGTTAGACACTTTGTTCCAGACAACAGAGTCTTTATATAGGGTGTAAATGCTTATATATTGAACTGGGCAATATGAACAATGTAGGGATCTTTCTGATGACCTGGTTGCACTGCTGGATCCCTACCTGAACTTCTGAATCTGATTTCTGGATTGGTGCCACAGTCGCTTTGCTGTTTGGTGTTAGGAGCTCAATACAGGGAGAGTTCAGGAGTTCATGGCTTTGATAGGGCTGATGGTAGTGGTGGTAGTGGTAATGGAGAACATGTGTTGTTTCATGGTATCAACAGTATGATATCATTCAATTCTAAATTGCTACCCAACCTATGCAGGACGTTGTCAATGTCTCATCCCAGTGTCTCAAAAATGTTGAGGCCTAAATAGGCTAAAGCAAGCAAGGTGGAGCTGTAATTTGTGCACTAAAATGATTCATCATCTCTAATGTTATCTCTTGACAAGATGGCATAGAAATAGGTCTGGAATGCAAAGTTCTTCTTGGACATGTAACTTCTGCTGAATGGGCAAACTGAGACTATGGCCAAGGGCCCTTTGCCTAGCTCCCACTGCTGCCTCAGTTCTGGCCATATCTGGTGCAGAAGCACCTCGCAATAACGTATGCCTTCACAAATTCTCATTTGGATTACTGCAATCTGCTTACAAGGCAGTAGAAGATCACTCAGATACTACAATTAATGTAAAAGGCAGAGACACACTGGCTGGTTCTCATTGCCATGAATAACTCATGCCAGCTATAGGACTATCATCCACTTTTCATTGGCTTCTGAGTGCAATTAGAGTTTGGTCTGAATCTATTAAATCCTACTGGATTGGCATTTAGGTACTTTCAGGAAGTGCCTTCTGGAGACAGAGGAAAACCATCTAATCTGTTAACAAGACATAAAGTGGGTTTATCATGATCAGACTTGCTCTCCTTTTGTTGTTTTTCTGGAAGTTACTATAAATACAACGTTTCCAAAGCATTTGGAAAGCGATGGGATCCCATCTATGTTTAGTGTTTAGGATATTGTGCGGTTCCACTATACTTCATCCATATGACACAGACATTTATTTTTTTATTTTTTTTTCTTACTGTGGACAGTTTAACTGCATTGCTGTGGATATTTAATATTATTATTAAACTGAATAAATTGTGGTGATGTTAAAAGAATTAATAAATAATTAACGTGTCTGCCTCCGTGTATACACATACACACACATATATACATACAGTATATACATATATATGTATGTATATATGTGTGTATGTATGTGCATATATATGTGTATATATATATATATATATGTATGTATGTATATGTATATATTTTTACTCATACCTGCCACTCATGTATGTATGAGATAAAATAATTTTTCTTACGTCAATGTGGGAATTTTTTTTCTTGTATGAAAAGAGCCTAGATCACGAACTCAATTCTTTCCAAAATTTTTAAATAAGAAAGTGCAGCCCTTAAAATGGACTGTTAGACTACTCTTATAAGATTTCCCAATGAATTTAATTTATCTAAACCTTTATAGATATGTCTAAAGCTCTGTTTTTGAATGCTTTGGCTTTTCTATGCCCAAGACACACAGTGAGAAAAGCTGGAAGTGGTGATGGTGTAGAATGAATATAGGAAATAGGTGAGAAATACATGTTGATCATAAATCTGAAATTAAAATCATATTCCATGTAATTATGAAATAAAACAAAAAGTGGATGTAATCACACAGTTGATTTTAAACAGCTGAAGCATTAAGTGGCATATAATGATTGACCAAGACAAGTTTTGTTCAGCTAAAAAATATTGTCTGTACCTAGCTCTTCTTCTGGCGTGCCAGGAAAACTGATCCCCGTCTTGAGGAGGTCACCACCGTCTTCCTCTGAAAAGAAAGAAAAAGGTCAAGAATATAGATATTTTCAAGACTCACAATTAGGGGATAATACACTTTCAAAAAAAACAACAGTATCTCTTAAATAGTTTGATGGGGCATTCTGGGAGTTGAAGTCCATACATCTTAAAGTTGCTGAGGTTGAAGAAACAGTGGTGTGTTTTTTGTTTCAGTCTTCATTTTCCTACTTAAAACTGTGAATGTTTTCCTAATATCCCTTCCTAATATGGATAGTCCTCAAATTATGACCTGCTGCTTAGCAATTGTTCGAAGTTACAACAAACCTCAAAAAAGCTATTTATGATCCAGATTTGATGTTCAGATGGCTGGTCCCCACCAGTGCAGTCACATGGTTGCATTTTGGGCACTGGGCAACTGGTCTACATTTAAGGCCATTTGCAACATCCTATGGTCATGTGACTGTAATTTATGATTCCCCCCCCCCCGAAAATGGTATTTCCAGCAAAAAAACAGATCCTAGCAATCAATGGGTTTATTTAACGACTGCAACATTCATGTAACAACCACAGTATTCGCTTTATAACCATCATGCTTGCGAAAAACCACTGCAAAAAATGATGCAAAATCGGGCATGGTCATACGATTACCTTAATGGCTGACATGGTTTACAACCAGAATTGCAGGTTCACTTATGGTCGTAAGTTGAGGACTACCTGTTCTTCATTATGTCAATTACTTTAACACAAATACAAATTTTGAACTGGTTATCTAGGCTTTCCCCTGCTTCAATAATTCCAGTTTTATTTTATTTACAGAACAATTTTTTTAAAAAAAATATTTATTGCATTAACTAACAGTCTGTTTTACCTGGATTTTTCATCATTTATAAGTTTCATCAAATAAAAAGATGCCTTTTTTAGTTCTGATAACTTATATTTTTCCAATATATTGTAAACTATGAATATTCTTAGTCACCCAGGTCATGGTTGTCCCAAAGGTGCTTTTTCAAAGGCAACTGGACTTTCTTTGTTTTTCCTTGAAGATGTTTTGCTTCTCATCCAAGAGAAGCTTCTTATGAAAAAGTACCTTTGGGACAATTAATTTTAGTATTATGATCTTCACTTAATTTATTTCAGTTATTATAATTTTAGATGAGAATATAAATATAAAGAACTTTCTGTAAGATTTCAATCCAATGCTTCCATTTTTACAGATTATATATTCAAGATTAAAGTCATGATAATGAAATTTATTCTCAAACTTGAGATCTTTTGGTTTATGAGCTCCACAGTCTCCAAATAACATGACAACCTAGGGACATTAGGTTGGGGAAGATTACATATCTAAATCTCATTTTTTTTCTTTAAGCAGTTAGCTAGTTTTAAATAATATGTTCCCTGTTTCCCCAAAAATAAGACCTTCCCAGATAATAAGCCCAATTGGGCTTCTGAGCACCTGCACTAAAAATACCTCCTCTGAAATACCCGTCCCCAAAAATATTTAAATGCATGCACAGCTGGTCCCCACCATTTCCTCTGGTTAGGGTTAGGGAGACAGAGCTGGAAATCAAGTAAGATGGCAAAAGGATCCCCATCTTGCTCCACATGCCCCAAAATAATAAGACCTCCTCAAAAATAAGGCCAAGTGCTTATTTTGGGGTTCAAAAAAATATAATACAGAGTCTTATTTTCGGGAAAACATGATAGAAGAACAAATGCTACTTCATATAGATTTGATACTGGCTAAGACTGACTCTAAAGGTCTCAGCTAGCATACTTAAGACAGCAACAGTAGGAAAGATTGTGCCAAACTTGTGCAAAGTTGAAAAGTTTTCAGAGAAAAAGATTTGACTTTTTCTATATAAAACTATTCAATTCACTGTACACCATAAATTGTGTAACTACCTGGAAATCAGACTAACATGTTAACATAATGAATTTTCTAAGAAGTGACAGGTATGTATATTTAAATAAAATCTATTTGGAGAGGCCCTGGACAATTACAATTAAATGCAAACACAAATCAGACAGTTTCCATAGAGATGAGTGCATGTGCTTGTCTACATGTTATACTGAAAGAATCTCTAAATTTATTTCCTCATGTAAATTACAACAATAACAGAAAGATGCCATAAAGAAAGTGGACTTTTAAAATAGTAAAGGAAAAAGAGTTTTTTTCTTAAAAAAAATATATGGAGAAATGCAAAGCGATAGAGGCCTAGTGCCATGGATTGACTACTTTAGCTTCTCTTCTCTCTTTTTAAAATGAGAACAAAAAGTAAATAACCTCACAGGGACCCTCTTCAACAAATGTAATGAAGACTTCACAGTTTCCTTAACAATAACAATTGTTAAAAGGAAAACATATTTTATATTTATTGCAATAAAAATAGGCCCAGTTTCCCTTGGCCAACAAACATCAAATTCCATTCTATTTAATGAATGGTTATGGTTAGTACATGCAAGCTCCCAAAATGCACATAGGCTTTTACTTAAGCCATTAAAATAATTTTTTTAAAGAGAATCATTACACTGAAAGAAAAAGTACAGCTGTTTGCTTTGCTGTAATGTAAGATTTAAATAAAAGGAACGGGTAATTTTACTGGTCTTTTCAGTAATTGTGCTTTTCACAGACCATTGCAGCCTAGAATGTTTTCCTATTATGCCTATTTGGACATTATCATGATTATTTTTATCATGTGCCCACAATAAACCAAAGCAGGGGCGGATTTCAAAACCCATCACTACCGGCTTGCTCGCGCACACACGTGGCACTTCTGCACATGTGCAGATGCTTCTGCGCATACGCAGAAGTGTCTGGGTGGGTGGGTGAAGCCTCCCACAGCTGCTGCTACTGGTTCGCCCAATCCGGGACGAACCGTTAGCAACCCCCCACTGAACCAGAGGGATTAAGTATTTTTTTTCTCTCATTAAAAAAAAAAAAACAACCTTCTCCGATGTTCTATTGTAATCTGAACTATTTTTTTCTACATCACCCCTGTTAACTGCTGAAGATCAGATTAACTCAAGAGACCACTATAAACAACTTTCTGCTTCTTTACGTCCCAAAAGTAAAATAGAAAGATAGTTTCTTTATTTATTTTTTTTGCTTCCCAAGAGTGAAAATGTCGAGGTTATACCTTAAGGAACTCATGGTTGTAGTCAGCTGTTAACCAAAAAAAAATTCAGATTGGTTGACTTTCAATCCATACATAGAGTTACAAATGGAAGTTTTCCACGGACATTACCCTGGGGCCTTAGCATTTTGTCCCTGGGAGAGCAGGAAGGCCCTAGCTTTGGATTTGCTAATCACCACAACAATTACTTTACAGACTACAGTACAAAAAAAAAGTCAGACTTCAGTTTCAATGCAGTCCCTCTACTAATTTATCAAAGGCTGGGTTTCCTCTCCCAAGCAACTTAAAGAGAAGAAACAGCTTCACAAGAAAGTCAAACAAGAGGTCTCTTTGCAAGGAAAAAATAGAGGAAAAATAACCTCAAACCAGGGGTGAAATGCTCCCAGTTCGGACCGGATCTCCCGATGGTGGTGGGTGGTTTGGAGAACCGGTAGCAAAAATCCCTGTGCCACCCCCCCCATGCCCAGCTGAGCCGCAAGATCATCAGAGACTTTTTTTTTACTTTTAAAAGCATTTTTTCTACAACCTCTTCCAACGAAAAAATGCTTTTAAAAGTTAAAAAAAAAGCCTCTGATGATCGCGCGGCTTAGCTAGGGTCATCAGAGGCTTTTCAAAGCATTTTTTTCTGCAACCTCTTGGCTGAAGAGGTGGTAAAAAATGCTTTGAAAAGTCTCTGACTTTTCAAAGTCAGAAACTTTTCATTTACTAAATGAAAAGTCAGATATTTAGTAAAAAATACTTGTCTGCTGATCAGGCAACTCAGCTGGGATCGTCAGAGAGGTATTTTTTAAAAAGCCTCTCTGACGATCCCAGCTGAGTTGCCTGATCGGCAGAGGCTTTTCAAAGCATTAGAAAAAATGCTTTGAAAAGTTAAAAAATAAAATTGGCCACGTCCACCCAGTCACATTACCCCCTCCCCCCACCAAGCCACACCCACAGAACCAGTAGTAACAAATTTTACATTTCACCCCTGCCTCAAACACAATATGAGTCTATGTCTCCATCTTCATGAAATGGCTTTTGTGGCAAATTTTCTCTTTCACACAGAAAGTTCAAAAACGGTTTCCAAATAACCACTAAACTATTTACATTCTTGTCCGTAATTAATACTGAATTAGATTCTCAAGAACTGGAATTTGCCCTATCAAGCCCACTATTTGGCAAAGAGAATTATCTGCGTAGAAGGAAGGAAATTTGCACTCCTGATATTAAAGAATACATTCAAGAACTGTGTCATTAATCTTCTGCCTAATCCAAGGCTGGGCAACTATGGTTCCTTTACAACATGTGGACTTCAACTCCCAGAATTCCTGAGCCAGCTGGACTTCAACTCCCAGCATGGCTGGCTCAGGAATTCTGGAAATTGAAGTACATAGGTCCTAAAGGGACCTTAGTTGCTCACCCCTGGCCTAATCAATCTTTCTTGAAGTCACATTATTGCAATGGCCAAAGTTCATCCACTATGTGTCAAATCTTGTTCATAATTTTTATATACTGAAATTACCTTAGTTTTATTGCAAATCTTTTGATAGTTACATGCAAAAATGCCTTAGAATAGAATTTCATTTTAACCTGTCAGCGCTATTGAGATTAGAAAAAGTGATGGTTGGTGCACTTTTTAAATAACAGCGTGATTGTCCTTCATTTTAGTTATTGCCAATTTCACGTGGTTGTGTTATTCTCTATGAATATTGGTATTTTTTTAAAAATTTGATTTATATGCCGCCCTTCTCCAGAGATTCAGGGCAGCTTACAATGCGTTAAGCAATAGCCTTCATACTTTTGTATATTTTTACAAAGTCAGCTTATTGCCCCCACAAACTGGGTCCTCAATTTACCTACCTTAGAAAGGATGGAAGGCTGAGTCAACCTTGAGCCTGGCAAGATTCGAACT